AGAAAGAAAGAAAGAAAGAAAGAAAAAGAAACACACACAACCAAACCCAGAAGAGGAGGAGAAAGGTCTTAGTGTCCTTCAGAGTCACCTTCAATGTTAGTCATTGCATCATAAAATCAAGAGCATTGGATATTTATAAAGGAGCAATTGTTGGCTGGAAAACAAGCCATCTGGTGGCCTAGGATTAAGTTCTTCATCTCTCTTCCCAACCATCCTTAACCTTGGCTCATGAAATGAACATATCAGAAAGACACTTCAACTGATTTATAGAATTTAAATTTGCAAGGAGAGCCAACAGTAGTTGAAAAAAATATGAAACTGGATTAGATGAACTTACTTTACACAATAAAGTATGTTCAGGGCTTTTCACTGAATAAGGACATTTGGTCCTAAACATCTTATACTGATAAAAATTTATTCTACCTTTATCATTACCTTGAAATTTATCTAATAAGACGGGAGAAAATGAAGATGGAAATAACTCCTGTTTTTCCCCCTTACCCAAAGGCTGACTCAGCATTGTCAGGCAATCACTCATCCAGTGGGAAGATGTTGCTTCCCACTAAAATTTTGTGTCCGGTGCAATAAGTTGCATAATTGTTTTGTAGACCAGAAAAGTTCAAATAGCTTCTATGATTTGATACAGATTTCTACTTGAGTTAAGCAGTTGGAGATGTCTCACTTGAAGTTTTCCCTGAGACTTTCCTATAAATGAATACAGATGTAAGAAAGTGGTCATGGGTGTCTAGTTCCAGGCTTAATATGAATACCTCAGGCCCAGAGAATATGGTACTTATCGTGCCTCTGAGAACATGTATGTGCTTTCTGCATCCTCTAAAGAAAAAAGGAAGGAAGCAATAACAGTCCCAGTGGGATGGATTATTTCAAGAGGGAAGTAGGTTATGTGAAATGTGAGAGGAGTCAAATATCTTTATACGACTTGGGAAGAGTCTCATGACTGGAGCTGAATTAACATTTGATACCATTTGCACAACGACACGACACTCCTTTTTATATTTTTGGTGAATCAAAATGTGAAATTCTTTTATGCTACACAGATCTGTAACAAATTCCTTGTATAATTTATATTATACTATTCTAGCAACACTGAATATCAGTCACCATGAGAAAGCAGTCTTTACATGCAGACTGCTACTTGCAAACTGTGAGGAACAATTGGAGAAACCTGATCTCCAGGTGGTAGCTTTCAAACTCAACTGTGCAGAATGAATCACCTCAAATGCCAGTCAAAATACAAATCTCCGGACCTACACACCATTCGGCAGTGATGGAGTGTGTCCAGAAATCACTAATAATTTTTATGAGCATGTCCCATTATTCTGATGAGAATGCTGTTTATGGCGAATTGAAAGCATCTGGATTAAATGCAAGCATCTATGGAGCTATCACTGTTACACATATTATCTCATTTAATTCCCACAACAGTTCTGTAATATAGCTGTTGTTGTTCCTGTTTCACATAGATTTGCTAAGAGTCAAAGAGGGGTAATGATGCAGTGGGGTCAAGGGATGTTCATAGTTAGTCTGATGACATCAAGGCTAATTGAGATAGTGACTGCCTGTGTTCAATCAATTTCAAGATAACTTTATTATTCTTAAGGAGGTGGTAGCCCAGAAAAGTAACAGCACTTATTTAAGAAGACAATAAAGACGGCTTCTGAATTATAGGCTTTGCAAACATTAGACACCAATTTTTAAAGCCCCAAAGAAAGACAGGTGATCCAAATTGAATTTATCTCATAATAAGTCATTGCTTTTACTCATGGACTTCTCCATATTGTCGCCTATTGATGTAATTTGTTGCATCTCTCTATGGGATAGTGTTCCTTTGTGTAAACATGCTGCAATGCGTTTATCCATTCTATCATCAAGAATGTTGGTGGTTTCCAACATAATATTGATACCATTATGAATATGCTGCCAGAAACATACTTGTTCATGCTTTGGTGAGCATATCTTTGCATTCTTCTTGTGTATTTATCAAGAAGAATTGCTGCTGTATAGGCATATGTGTGCGCAGCTTTTGTAGACACTACCCAGCAGTTCGCAAAGTGGTGCTTCTGGGCTTGAACTGTCACTGTGTGATAAACTCCATCTATGCCAACATTTGGTATTGTCTCTTCATTCTAGACTTTGTGGTCATTGTACACTGGTATGCTGTCCTGATTAAAATTTGCATTTTCATAATAGCTAATAATGTTGAGTGTCTTTTAATAAGTATTTATGCAAATCCTCCTCCCATTTTCTGTTTAAGTGGCTATTTATTCCTTGATGGAGTGTGATGATTATTTACGTAATCTCCTCCTTTGTCAGCTGTTTATACTGCACTAATATTCCATTCTGTGGTTTTCTTTTTCACTCTTTCAAGAATGTGTTTTTTAATGACTAGGTTTTAATTTTCTTATAATTCAATTTATGTTATTTTCCTTCCTCTGCTTATTTAATATAGTCTTGCCTATATCATAGCACCATAATAAGCTTTTCCTCCTAAACCTTTTATTGCTCTGTTTTTATATTTAGATCACCTGGAATTAATTTTTGATGTAGTATTAAATCAGAGTTCCAAAGCACTCACTTTCCTCTGTCTGTCTGTTTGGCCTGCCAACCTGAATTTGATCCCCAGAACCCACAAGGTGGCAGGAGAGAACTGGGTCCTGAAGGACTCCCAAGAGTTGTCCTCTGATGTCCATGAGCATGGCATGGCATGGGCATGCACGCTGTGGCACATGAGTGCCTTCACACACAAATACACACACACACACACACACACACACACACACACACACACACACACACACACACACACACACACACACACACACACACACACACACACACACACACGGGGGGCGGACTTTTAAGATCACATATTCTCCATAGCATTGCAGAATCATCTTTATCAACTGATACATTTGGTCCATTTCTGGACTCCTCTGTTCTAACGACCATCCTTTTCTCCAATGGTGCCTCCTCTTAAACATAGTTGTATGATAAATATTAATGTCTTGACCAGTGGTTCTCAGCCTTCCTATTACTGTGACCCTTTAATATAGTACCTCAAGCTGTGGTGATTCCCCAACCATAAATTATTTCATTGCTGCTTCATAACTGTAATTTTACTACTGTTATGAATTATAATGTAAATATCTAACATGCAGGATATCTGATCTATGACCCTTATAAAAGGTTCATTTAAAAAGGTGTCACAATGCCACAGGTTGAGAACCGCTGGTCTAGAATGTAAGTCTTCCTAACTGTCCCTCAAAATCCTTTGGCTGTTGTTTATCACTTCACTCACTAGAAAAGGAATGAAGACCGTTGTAAAGTGCAAAGATATTGGAAGATTTGATTAGGGGAATATGAAGAAGTTCACTCTGGAATCATTCTACTTTCTATATAACGTGGCAAGTGAGATCACCCACTGAGAATTAAGATCTAGATGTCTGAAAAAAGTTGGATATAAAATGCTTTCTAGGGGAGTGAAAAAGTGAACTGAGCAGGGAAATGTGGTCAAAAGGCTGGCAGTCCAGAAAATCCACCTGAGCATTGTGGCTTAGTTTTGACAGGTCAGTCATGGTTGTTTTTTTATCCTGCCATAGTCGGATGCCACCTGGAGAAGCACCGTGATTGCAGACTTGAATTTAAGCAGATCAGGGATTTCCAAAATAAACACAGTG